AATCCCACTGTGCCACTCACTGTCTGTGCCATTGCTGACGCAGTCCAGTGGGCAAGCACGTTGAGCCTCGGTGTCCCCTGTGTGAAATCCAAAGAGCACCTGTCTCCAGAGGCTGCAGGGGGATGCTTTAGGTAAAGTGCCTAGGACACAACAGGCAATTGGTACCTACTAGTGTGTGAATTAATCAAATAATGGTTTGAGGTCAAATCCAAAGTCATGAAAATGGAAGCGAACAGGGACAAACCTAGGAGGAGCGGTAGCACCTCCCGACCTGCTCTGGTGCTGGCTGTCTTGCCCCTGGCCCCTGCTTACCACTGAGGGCTCCAGTCCTCCTGCGTGAGCAGAGAAGCAGGTTTCACGTGGGTTGGCAATGTTGGGGGAGGGCCCATCGGTGAGTTCAGGGGTCAGAGCGGTCCAGGGGGGTCGGGTGGGTGCACAGGAGCACTGCCAACCTTCAACCAACCTCCAGTTCTGAAAGGAAGCGAGCTTCCTAATGACGGCTCCAATTCCCTCTCCTCCTGACAAAGTAAGAACGTTCCCTTTGAGCATCTTGAATCTCTGATAAGGCCAGTCCCGCATGGTAATGTCCTTTCTTCAACACTTAATTTCTTTCCGTATCTCTCTCTGTGCTGAGCATTTCCACTCAGATTACATGGCAGGAGCAATAAGCCTTCTATATTACGGCTGGAGGAATTCCCACAGGTTTGTTCCTAACCTCCCTGCTTCCCCATCTCATTTCTGTGATTTGTTAACTACATTTTCCCTGAACACAGAGGAAGAATCATGTCCTCACCCCAGGTTGCCCAGTGCATGCCCTCTAGCCCATGCCTGGACATCCCCCTCCATCCAAGTAAGTCACTGGCTCGGACAGCATCGAGATACTCCATAAATCCAGCCCCATCATATCTGATGTGAGAAGACATTTATTTGAGAGTGTTTTAAACTTGATCAATATCTTCACTGAAATCCCATACATATGGTATAATGCTCATTAGATATTTTCATGTCAATCAAGAAAGAAACATCTCCAATTGATATTATATTGTTCCAAATGAACCCAATTTCATCACAGACCTAAATCTGCGTGACTGACAGGGGGGTAGCAGCCCCACAGCACCCGTATTTTAAGTATGCCAGATTTGGAGAAGAAAACACAGATAATTAACTCAGTGACAAAATATTCTTGTTTCCTTTGTAACAATCTCAGGAGAGAACTGCACTCGGGGTAGCAGCAGGAGAGGAGAGACCTGGTTGTCTGTCACAGAGCAGAGTTACAGTGGCCTCAAGCCAATGCCACATTTAAGTTCGGATGCCCCTGATACGCTTTCTGGTCTGTAAAATCGAGCACAAGAAAATACATGACTATCAAAAAGCGATCTTACATAATAATGCAGTTCATTGAAATTTCAGCGTATCCATCAGCCTAGGGTTCACTGCAAACTTTAAGACCCATGACACAGTTTTGCTTCTCTTCCATGGAACAACCTCGGGCTAACAAAGCAGCACAGAATTCTGTGGCTTAAAATAAATAAGCATTTGTTATTGAACAAGTATCTATCACCAGCTGTTGGGCTGGCAAAGGACTGGCCAGTCGAGGATGGTCTCTTTACAACCTGGCATTTAGCTGGCTATTGGCTGAGCTGATGAAATAGACTGGTCATGTGTCCCTTGTTACCCAGCAGCCCCATCTGCATACGACAGACTGAATAATGCCCCCCCACCCCAAGAAGGCCCATGTCTGAATGCCCAGAACCTGTGAAAATGTTACCCTTTATGGTAAAAGGTATTCTACACACGTGCTTAAGTTAAGGATCTTGAGATGGGAGATTTTCCTGGACTATCTGGGAGGGCCCATATAACCACAGGGGTCTTTATGAGAGGGAGACAGGAGGATTAGAATCATAGTGAGAAGACACAGAGATGGAAGCAGAGGAAAAAGAAGATGCAACATCGCAGCTTCGAGATGGAGGAGAGATGGTGTGGCCAGGAATGCAGGCGGGCTCCAGGAGGCGGGCAAGGCAAAGAAAGGGGTTTCCCCCAGGGCCTCCAGAAAGAATGCAGCCCTCTGGGCCCGTTTTATTTTATTTTATTTTATTTTATTTTATTTTATTTTATTTTATTTTATTTTATTTTATTTTTTTGTCATTTAAAACTTAAAAAAATATTTTATTGATTATACTAATACAGTTGTCCCCCAATTTTCCTCTTTGTCCCCCTCCCTCAGGCAAACCCCACAACATTGTTCATGTCCATGGGTCATGCCTATAAGTCCTTCGGCTACTCCATTTCCAATACTGTGCTTTACATCCCCATGGCTGTTCTGTAACTACCTGTTTGTACTTCTCAATCCCCTCACCTCTTCACCCATTCCCCCACATTCCCCCTCCCATCTGGCAACCATCAAGATGTTCTCCATATCCATGATTCTGTCTCTGTTCTTCTTGTTTGCTTAGTTTGTTTTTTAGATTCAATTGTTGATAGATTTATATTTTTTGCTATTTTATTGCTCATAGTTTTTATCTTTTTCTTCAAAGGGTCCCTTTAACATTTCATATAATAATGGTTTGGTGATGATGAACTTCTTTAGTTTTTTTCTTGTTTGAGAAGCTCTTTATCTGCCCTTTGATTCTAAATGATAGCTTTGTTGGGTAGAGCGATCTTGGTTGTAGGTCCCTGCTTTTCATATTCCTTCTAGCCTGCAAAGTTTCTTTTGAGAAATCAGTTGACAGTCTTATAAGAACTCCCCTGTAGGTAACTAACTGCTTTTCTCTTGCTGCTTTTTAGATTCTCTCTTTATCTTTAAGCTTATGTGTCTTGGAGTGGGCCTCTGTGCATCCATTTGTTTGGGACTCTCTGTGCTTCCTGGACTTCCATGTCCATTTCTGTCACTAAATTAGGAAAGTTTTCTTTCATTATTTTTTTCAAATAGATTTTTCAATTTTTGGCTCTTTCTCTATTCCTTCTGGCACCCTTATGATACAAATGTTGGACCTCTTGAAGTTTGTCCCACAGGTTGCTTATATTATCCTTGCTTTTTTGGGATTCTTTTTTCTTTTTGCTGTTCTGATTGGTTGTTTTTTTCTTCCTCATGTCCCAAATCATTGTTTATCTCCATTTTGTTTAGTTCTTTTTCTGGAGTTTTGATCTGTTCTTTCATTTGGGCCATGTTTCTTTGTCTCCTCATTTTGGCAGCCTCCTTGTGCATGTTTCTATGTATTAAATAGAGCTGCTATGACTCGCTGTCTTAGTAGCATGGCCTACTAAGTAGGTGTCCTGTAGGGTCCAGTTGCACAGCCTCCCCTATCATCAAAACTGGGTACTCAAGGTGTACCCTTTGTGTGGGCTGAGACATCCTCCTCTTGTAGTTGAGACTTGCTTGCTCTTGGTAGGTCAATGGGAGGAATTTACCCAGGCCAGTCAGCAGCAAGGACTGGCTGTGACCACTGAGCAACAACTTCCACCCTCCATGGAGGATCAGCTGTGTAGGGGCAGGATGGTGATGCTACAACATGGTCTATAGCTATCCACTGGGTGCATGAGTCCTGTGATTTTCCAGGTGGTTCAGGCCAAGGTCAGCCCCCACCTGTGTTTTGCCTGGGGCCACCCTGCCTGAGCTATAAAGCAATCTGAGATGGGTGCTACTTGTGCTGGCCTTGGAGATTCCAAGCGAAGCCAAGTGGTGACTCTAGGCTGGTTATTGCTAACACCAGGCCTGAGGCCTCTTAGTAAGTGGTATGGAAGCTGGGGACTCACTGAGGCCAGCTGTTATTCACTTGAGAGGATTTAGGAAGTTGAGAACCATGAGTCAAGACCAGCCATTCATATAGATAAGTTCCTATTAACAGCTTGGGTGATCCCTTAAGTTGGGTGGGACAGAGACTCAAGGGATCTCCAGAGCAGGACAAACAGTGTTAACCAGGTTGATGGATCTCAGATATGGCACCCATCTGCCAGCTCTGTGGCTCTGTGGGAAAGAGTTCAGAATAGGGACAATGACCTCTGCCCACCTGTGTTTCTGGGGAAAAACTGTCCTCCAGCTCCCGCCTTCATGCCAGACATTTCAGTTCCTTCCTGTATATCACTGGCGCCTTTCAAGCTGCTATCCTGGTGCTGGAGCTCAGAGGGAGTGAGTCTGAGTAAGTCCACTTGTGGGTTCTTTATGAGGAACTCCTTGGGACTCCACAAGTTTCTCCTACCAACTCCATCCCTGCTGGTTTTTGCAGTTAGAAGTTATGGGGAGTTATCTTCCTGGCACTGGAACCCTGGGCTGGGGCATGTGGTATAGGGCTAGGACTCCTCGCTCATGAGATATCCTCCCTGAATTTTTATGCAACACACATGAATGTGGGACTAGCTGGTTCCACGTCCCCGCCCCTCCTACCAGTATGGATGGATGTGTTGTTTTAATCCTGTAGTTGTTAGACTTCCATTCAACTTGATTTCTGATGGTTCTGAGTGATGGTTGTTCTATATTTTGGTTGTAATTTTGATGTGGTTATGTGAGGAGGTGAGCCATGTTTATCTATGCTGCCATCTTGACCGGAAGTCTGGACCCATTTTAGACTTCTGTCTTCCAGAACTCTAAGAGAATAACTATGTGTTTCTATAAGCCACTAAGTTTGTGGTAACTTTTCCCAGCAGTGACAGGAGACTAATACACCTGAACTTGTTAAAAAGTTAGTAGCAGGTTCCCAGAGAAGGGCAAGAATGAATCATAAATTTGGGATTGGCATGCTGTCACTTCTGTCACATTCTATTGGCCAAAGATATCACAAGTTCATTCCAAACTCAAGGGTTGGAGAAATAGACCCCACCTCTTGATGGATTCTATTTCTCACTTCTTGATGGGAGAAGGTGGCAAGTCACATTGCAAATGGGTACAGGGTCCAAGAAGGGTAATTGTAATGAATCTACCACCGTGCCCTTCACAAAATGATAGAGGACATTGAAAAGCAACATCTGATCCTGGTCTCTTTCTCATTTCCAGGGCTGCAGGGATCATGGGGGTCTGGAACTCAGGCAGCGATATCTTCCTAAGCCTTTGGGGAATCTATGTGTCTCCAAGAAGCCCTGGATGGAAGGACTTTATTCAGCATTTGGGAGTTTGTTGTTTTGTTGCTTTCATTTCCCTGGGCCTCCTCTCAGTGGCCTTCTCCTGGTTTCTGTCCTCATCTGCTGTCTTCGCCGCCTCCTGGGTGATCACATGGGTTCTGCTGTGCTGCTCCAAGCACGTGAGGTGTTTCATTTTCCTCCTCTTCCTCTCCTGTGGCCTGCGTGAAGGCAGGAATGCTTTGCTCACAGCTGGCACAGGGGCAGTCATCTTTGGACATGTGGAAAATATCTTTCACAACTTTAAGGGTCTGTTGGACAGTATGAGTTGCAACCTAAGGGCAAAGAGCTTTTCCATACATCTGCCGCTTTTGAAAAGGTATATTGAAGCAATTCAGTGGATTTACAGCCTTACCACTCACCTGAGCCTATTTGATGACCTTGTTTCTTGGAACCAGACTCTGGCAGTCTCTCTTTTCAGTCCCAGCCAAGCCCTGGAGGCACAGCTAAATGACACTAAAGGCGAAGTCCTGGGGGTCTTGTACAAGATGGTGACCACGACAGAGATGCTGTCCTCCTTGGGCGAGCCACTACTTGCCCTCGCAGGGCTTTTGCTGGTGCTACTTGGCACTGGCCTTTTCATGAAGCGCTTTCTGGACCCTCATGGTTGGAAGTTTGAAAACATCTACATCACCAGACAGTTTGTTCAGTTTGATGAAAAGGAGAGGCACCAACAGAGACCCTGTGTCCTCCCGTTGAATAAGAAGGAAAGGAAGAAGTATGTGGTCATCCCATCTTTCCGGCTCACTCCTAAAGAAAGGAAGAACCTGGGGCTGTTTTTCCTCCCCATACTTACCCATCTCTACATATGGGTGCTGTTCGCAGCCATTGATTTTCTGCTGTATTGGCTCATTTTCTCCGTGAGCAGACATTTCCAAAGCTTGCCAGCGCTGGAGGTTCACTTGAAACTGCACAGGGAGGTAGGCGCTCACAGGCACTCGTCAGGGTGCATCCTGGCTGTTAGCTGGTTTCTTTGCAAAGGATCACGAACCTCCCAAGGCAGGGCAGTGTCTTACCACCTTGGATCCCTGGTGCCTGGCACGGTTCCTCCCACGTACAGGAGCCCATCAGATGCTGGTTCAGTTGAAGTCCCTACGTTAGAGGGTATCATTCTGAAGATGGCTGTCACTGTGTTAGCTTACTGTGGCTGCTGTAAAAATTACCATAAAGTGTGCGGCTTAAAACAACAGAAACTCACTCTCTAATACTTCTCGGGTCAAGAAGTCTGAAATCAGTGTTGCTAGGAGGGCATCAAGATGGTGTTAGCAGACACATGCTCCCTTTGGACTCTAATAGAGAATCCACCCTTTGCCTCTTCTGGCTTCTGGTGGCTGCTGGCATCCCTGGGCTTGTGCCTGCACCACCCCATCTTTGTTTCTGTCTTCGCATCACCTTCTCACCACTGAACATAAAATCTCTCTCTGTCTCCCTCTTAAAGGATGCACGTGATTGCAATAGGACTTACCAGGATAATCATTTCTCCTCTCAAGGTCCTTCACTGAATCACATCTGCAAAGTCCTTTTCTTCCCCTAAATAAAACCACATTTTCAGATACAGGGATTAGAATTTTATACTGTTGGGGACCCATCTTTTAGTCTCCTGCAGTCCACAGACACTGAAATATGGGACTAGGGGTCTCTGATGGGGAATACGAAGTTGATCCTCAAGCAAGGGTGCCCGGCGTGAACCTAAAAGGCCAGATTCAGGGCATGACTTCCTCTTCCCTCAGACCTGTTATGCAAGTAGGCTGTGAGCACCTGCTCTGAATGAGAACTTTTTTTTTTTTTTGCAGTCCTGAGTCCTTCTCAAACAGGAAGGACCCTAATGTATCAGCTTAGTGTTTAAGAGGATGGTGTTTGGAAAAGGGCTCCCACGTAACCAAAACATGCAGCTGCTGCTAGTACCATGATAAAATGGAACCAGCTACACTTGTTTTTTAGACAGCTGAGGTCAGCGCCTTCAACCTTAAGTTTGCTAAGAATCTCCTGGGGTGAATGCAGAGCCTTAGTCCTCAATGTACAGAGACTCTGTTTTAAACGAGGGAGCACTTTTAGTGAGTACGTCATTCATTTCAAAGCAGGTGGTCCATGGGCCACACATGGAAAAATTCAGGTTCCTCAGGTGCTGGAGAGCAAAGACCTTGTAGACCAGCGGCCCTGGTGCAGCGTCTTCACTGGGAGCTGAACAAGCGAACAGGCAAACCAGTCCAATGCTTTGGTCTGCCCCCTCCCCAGATCTAACCAGCCTGGGTGAGGCCTGGGTGAGGCCTGGGCGAGGCCTGGGCGAGGGGTTTGTAAAAACTCCTGAGTAATTCTCACGTGCGGCCAAGATTGAGAAAGACGATTCTAAACCCATCACCCAGAGAATGGCGCCGTTGAAGAGAGCCACAAAATCTTCACTAGCCAAGACAGTCTGTCTCCCCGAGCTTGTGCCTCCCGAGCCTTGGGGCATCCGCCTTTGTCCCCTTCATTCTCGCTCCTCTCGGCAACCGTGTTCCAACAGAGAAAACCATGGTCTTCTGCATCTCATCTCTTCTCTGTTCCCTTCATCCCTGTGGGAACTTGTGATTAAGGGGTCATTTCAGAGGATCTGGACAGTGTCAGATACTTATTTTATTTTTTTTGTCACCCAGAAATTGTGAAACTGAGTTAGATGGGACATACATGTGTGCATGTATGTGTTGTGTATGTGTGTGTTCACAGGCTTGTATAGTGTGCGTGTGTGCATGACAGAGAGACAGAGAGAGAGAGAGAGTCATTCACGCAGGGGTGGAGTGCGCTAGCCCAGACAGCTGCTTCTTCATGTCTGATTTCCCTTCTCTTTATTGAGCACCATAGCTTGTGCTGGTGTGGTGGAAGTCTTGGAAGGGGTTGCTGGCAAATCCTCCTTTGAAGCCCCACTGTCCCCATCTCTCTTTATCTCTGGGCTGGGATCCTCCTGCTGCATGCACACTTTGCCGCCCTTTCTGTTCTGGCTCAGCAGGTCCGTCCAGGCTGCTGCCCCGCCTGCCCCTGGGCTGCCTCTCCGAGTTGATTACTCTGAGCCCTCTGCAGCCCCTGAAGAATTTAGTTAATTACAAGAACCCCGTTGCTGTGGGTATCTGGAGCAGAGTGGATAATGGAAGCTGTGCTTCAAATGAAAGTCAAACAAGAGTTTCAGACAGGCTTGATCCTGGGTGATGGCCGGTTAAAGGGCCCCTGTCCTCCCATTCCCCTCCATTTGCCTCCTATTTCTACTTTTGATCCCCACTTTTCCTTCTTTCTCTTTTTGCTTCTCTCTCATGTATTTCTCTCAGTCAACATTCATGCCTGTTTTGTGAGTTCTCGCCATTTTAAATATTGTGCTATTTTTATTTATTTATTTTTAGATTTTATTTATTTATTTTTAGAGAGGGAAGGGAGGGAGAAAGAGAGAGAGAGAGAAACATCAATGTGCGGTTGCTGGGGGCCATGGCCTGCAACCCAGGCATGTGCCCTGACTGGGAATCGAACCTGTGACACTGAGTTCTCACCTAGAAGCTTTCTGATGGCAATGTCCTCACAAATAAATTTTTGGGCATTGGGTCCTAGGGGTACAAAAATGTCTGGACCCTGATAGCTGCCATGGAGGGTGTCAGTCCTGGAGGGGGAGGCCACCACATCTACTTGCAGGGACAGCAGGACAGTGGGCACAGGAACAGATGCGAGGCCAAGGTGGCTGAGGAAGCTCCACTCAGATGCTCTCTGATGGGGCCTGGGACGTGGTGCCACCAGCAGTGTCCTCGAGAATGGGAGCGCCTTGCCCTCACCCCAGGATGCCCTCCGGGTCTTCTGGTCTCTCCACCGCTGCAGGTTTACAGAGGAGAAGTCAGCAGGAAGAGAGAGCTCAGCTTAAGGTTTTGCCAATGTGTCTCTCCTGTTTTCATACAATTTTAAGTTAAAAAGAAAGATGGGAAATGACCTGAATTGAGCTCGCTGGATGGGTTGGCATTGTAAGAAAAGAGAGCCATAGCTGCTACTCATCAAGCACCTACTCTGTGTATAGCATTTGTCTAGATTAACCTTCTGGGACCGTCTGATGCCGGAGCAGGTTCTCTGTCCATTCTTCAGCCCTGCCTTGGCAAACTGTTTACTTAAAGGAGGTAAACACGTTTTAAAACATAAGGGTACCATTTAGTATATTGTTCTGGATTTGGACAGAGTTCATTCGTCTTCCACATTACCCTCCGCCAGCCCTGTACGAAAATATTGACTCAGTCTTTATGAAGCCCTGACTCCCCACTGCAAAATCCCCAGTCAGATTCCTAGACTAAATAACTTCTCCCCAGACCGAACTCCCGCTGCTTTCTTATTGCAGGATTTCTCATCACTGACTCAATCGATGTGTTTGTTTCTTCAATACTATTAAAAAGAGTGCATGCCTTTGCTCTGGGGATAGAAATCTCTCTATTTAATTGTAGGCAAACTATCTTAATAAGAGGAGAGGCAACACAAATGTCTTTCACTGCTTAGCCACAGTGCTAGGGAAATTACAGATTTCACTCCACTTTGGTATAGAGGTCCCTGGTTTGGGATTTCCAGGGTCTGCACAGGTATTAGAGTAGATCCAAGGTGTCTGGTGTTCTCTGGGTGGGTTGGGCTCTTTTTGCAAAGTCCTGGCACCAGGACACTGGGGTGCAGCGGTGATAACTTATTGACGACTCCAGTCTGTAAGGTTAATGCTCCATCCCAAAGGTGTTTAATTTACCCTGGAAGGAGTTTATCCACGGGCAGGATCTGGTCCATTAATTCCTGTTTTACCAAATTAGAAAACAAATCCAATGAGAGATTAAATGACTTTCTCAGGTCAGGGAAAAGAAAAGAGCTGACTCAGCACACACCTCTCCCATTGGTGGCTTGGCTGGGTGGCTGAATGTCATCTTCTGCCCTCTGCGTCAGTTTGCTGAGAGCAACTGATTCGTTCTCTTGCTTACAAGCGGGGAGGGATGCACCTTTCTGGAGCATCCAAGAGATAAGAAAACATCCTATTTTGAGACCTCTAAAAATAGGATTTTAGAGCCACCTTCAGTAAATACTATTCTTAGTATTCTGGCACTAAGAATAATTCCCCCTCCCCACCAGCTCCAGAATGTTGACTTAGAACATAATCCAATGCCCCTATCTCCTTGTGACCTGGCGGTCTCATGGAGGGTGTAAGACTGGATCTTAAGGGGCTATGCTCCAAAAGTCTTTGCCTTCATTTGAGTTAAACCCGTCTTTCATTAGTCCCACATTGCCTAGACTATAGAAACATGTGCTCCATAAAAATAGGTTATGTGGTAAAATTTGTTAGGATAACAGCTGGCTGATGTTAAGCAGATTTCTCTGCCTTCTCAGAGACTTTAGAGGTCTCGTGAGCACCGTGGCTCTCCAAAGAAGGGACATATAGACAAACTTATTGATACCCTTTTCAAGGAAACCTGTATTTCCACAAGCCCACTGTGGAGAACACTGTGGTAGATACAGAGAAGGCTCACCTCTTGGCCTCCACTCCCGTCATGGCACCCAAAAGGAACTGCCCCCCCGCCCATTTAAAGACAAATGGTATGTGTCACAGGGCAGCAGTGACAAAGACAAGGAATGAATATGAAATGACATGGGTCTTGATGATTTTATTCTTTTATTTTAGGAGCAAGGAACTCAAAACATCATCCATGATTCCTCTTTTAATATATCTCTGTTTGAACCCAACTGCATTCCCAAACCGAAGCTCCTTCTGTCTAAGACTTGGATTCCTCTCAGCATTATTCTTGTGATACTAGTGATGCTAGGACTGTCATCCTCCTTCCTGATGCAACTTAAAATCCTGGTGTCAGCATCTTTCTACCCGAGCGTGCAGGGGGAGCGCGTCCAACACCTGCACGCGAAGCTGCTGAGGAAGAGGGCAAAGCAGCCGGGAAGGGAAGCGCACAGGCCGCCGAACCTGTACTTCACAAAGGTAAGGCCGAGATGAGGGTGTGGCCTGCAATTTAGGACATTTTGAGTGTGAAGGGCAAAACGGAATTTCAAAGCATTCTTCAACTTCACATTAGGGTTATATCTTCCGCAACAGATGGGACACTGAGATAGATGGGGGAGTTAATAGATACACATCGCTGAGGCTCCTGGCTTGGTGATTTTGAGTGCTGGTCTAGAGAAGGGGTGTCAAACTCATTTTCACCAGCAGCCATGTCAACCTCGCAGTTGCCTTCAAAGGGTTGAATGTGATTTCAACTCCTTAACTGTTAAGGAGTAGTTGTATTTACACAGTCCAAAAATTATTTTGGCCCTTTGAAGGCAACTGCCAGGCTGACGTGGCCCCTGGTGAAAATGAGCTTGACACCCCTGGTTTAAAGGATTCTACAAGATTGTCCAAACAATGATTGCAAGTGAGTATATTTAATCATATTATAGAGAGACTACTGGGAAGGCCCTTTGCAACAAATAAGGAGTTACTTTACTGGGTTAAGAATAAATAAATAACAGAGAGGGAAGTATCTACTATAGCTTGGTAAACTCCAAAGAATTTGCTCATTTTTCAGCATGAAAGTACATAAGTGATGCCTATATCATGATATATATATATGTGATATATATGCATGTTTATACACATATATGGTAATATAATGACTTTCATACACTTAAAATAAATGTTTGCCAAAGATTTTATTTGACTTATTAATGAAAGAGAAAACAGTAAAAAATTCCAATGAATTCAAAGAGCAATTCAAAGTACACATACATACAGGCCATAAAGAATACCAAAATTAATTCACTTCATAGATCCAAAACTGACTTCTTCAGGAAGGGTGGATGGGAGGATCAATTGTACTCTAGGGGGTAAGGTTTTTTTGCAGGTGCCTGGATAAGAATCCTTTGCGCTGTTGCTATCAGCTATCTACAATGTACACAGTTGGAAAATAGCTCATAGGCAATGAAAGAGCAAGATAACCCACCAGGACGATTGTTTTCTGGTCATTTCAAAGTCTTCTGCAATTTTCCCTGACACCGGTCACCCCATGATGAGAAGTTTATGTCGGAGGCATTTGAAATGGCTCTGAAGCTTATTCATCCACCTTTTTGTCTCTTCAGATTCATTTCTGGCTTCCAGTCCTGGAAGTGATTAGAAAGAAGCAAGTGGACACTGCAGGTGGTGACAATCCGTGAGCAACTCCCACGTAGTGCCTCGGCCACCCTTCTCCAGCTGCTCTCCCGGGTCCGCAGAGGGTGGTCCCTACCCATGCCCAGCGTCAGACAACGAACTATAGTGCATGGTGCCTCAGGGCTGAGTTTGTGGCCGAACCGCTTTTCTTCAAAAGGGCCAAAGGGCTAGCAGGTAAATGGTTATGTCGTCTTTCTTCCAAGTGAGGGACGCAATCTAGCCAGTGTCACAATGTTAACAGCACTATAACCAAGTCCTCTGAGGATAAGCCTCAGCATGGAGTAACAGTTAAAGAAAAAAAAACAAAAAACAAATTAGAAAAACCCCGACATCTCTACTGCAGGCTCACAAGCAAATGCCAAGGAGAATAAGCACGCATAAAGCCAATAAAATATCTCCAGCCTGTTGTCCCTTCTCTGCCCTCCTGGGTGTCTTTCAGGGCTGCTCCCTACCCCCGCAACGGTCTCTCCCCTCCTTCCGTACCCAAGGACTGTTCCCCAAACCATCTCCAGCGGCTTCTAATCGCTGCTCCCCACCCCCTCTGCTCCTGTCCCCTCCTTTTCTGGATCTCTCTGTTTTCGTCTCCTCCCCAATCTTCTAGCCACAGTGATTTAGGGACCACATTTATCAAAGTCATATGAAGTGTTTGTTCAAACGCACATGTTAGGCCTTTCTTTCACTGTATCAGTATATACCCCATGTACAGGGGCCTCCTTCCCCTGCACTCTGGACACTAAGGCAGGAGAGAAACCTCCTTGAATGTTGGCTTTATTATCTTTAACGTCCAAGAATGGATAAGAAATAAAGAAACATTATTTTTTTCTTTTTAACTCTTATTTTGAAAATGTTCCAACTTACAGAAAGATTTCAAAATAGTACAGAGTCCCATTTACCCTTCACCCATCAACCCCAAAGGTTAAAATCTTACATAACCGTAGCACGATTGTCAAAACCAAGTAAACAATACTGAAAAACATATAACTTACAGAGTTTATTGAATTTTTCACCAATTGTCTCACTCTCTCCCTTTTCTGGCCCTCGCTTCCACCCAGGATCTCACACTGTTCAGTCATCACGGTTCCTTAGTCTCTTCACATTAGTAAGAGCTCCTTACTCTTTCCTTTTTCTTTCATTATCTTGATACTTTTGGACAGTCCTGACCAGATATTTTGTGAAGAGCCCTCGGACTTGGTTTTGTCTGAAGCCCCACGTAAGCAAACCCAGACAATGCCGTGCTGGCGCGAGCGCTCCAGAAGCGATGGCGCGCTCTCGAATGTGATGTCCGAGGTGCACGGTGCTGGCGGGTCTGGTTACCGGTGAGGTTACCTGTCGGCCTCAGTTCAGACGGGGTCTGCCAGGCTCTCCCAGCGTGAAATTACTGTTTCCCCTTTGTGATCAGTAAGTGTGGTCTCAGAGGGGAAATGCTTCAAGATCACGCAAACATCCTGTCTGTCATCCCCCCTTCGTGCTCCGATTTTAGCGTCCGGGATGCAGAACCATGGCCGCCCGGTAGTGGTTTTCTACTGTTGTATCTTCAACAGGTCTTGATTGGAATTCTTCACTATCCTCAGAATGAAACTTTCTTTAAAGACTAAACTTTGTTTCAGGCACCGAGTAGGCACTTCACACATGCGATCTCATTTCTGGGTCACGGTAGCCCTGAGACGCGGTACGATCTCTTCCACGTTACAGGTCAGGCATCTCACCCTCAAAGCCCCGACTTAGCCGGCCTGGGGGCGGGGGGGCCGCGCGCTGGTGTTTAAAGCTCCCGGCGATTCTGATGGGGCAGCCAGGATGGAGATCCAACATCCCAGGAAGTTTTACAGAGCTGCAGGCCTTTGGTTTAGGTCTTCGCCGGTGAAATGGCTCTAACGGAAGGAGCCTACGTTGGAAATGTGTCTGATTTAGCATTTCCCAAAGTGTGTTCCTGAAATCCCCAGTCCTTTAGTTGTTCCTCAGAATAAGTTGTGTGATATTAGGAAATCTGTACCATCTATCTGCCTTCTAACCTTGAACATGAAGCACGTGGGCATAACTCAAAAACTTTGAGAAATTTCTTTTAACCTCATTCCATGCAGAATTTCCCCAAGTTACTAAACCATGGAATAACTTTACCAGTAATAACTGTTATCATCACTTAGGAACAGTTCTCCAGCCCATACTCCGGTAAAATGCTGACATAATTGGTAAAGTTTTGAACGGAAAAAGAATCAGAGAAGGTGAATATGCATTTATAGTTTGGGCTTGTTTAAATATTCTGATGATTTTATGCTTTATTGTGTTTTTTAAACAAATGTATATAATAATAAACTGATACAATGTGTGAATTTTTGCATTCACTGTATATTTATTCCTCCTAGAGATAAGGGATCTTCCCCACATTAACTAAGACAAAGAATCAACTGCTCAATTTTTAGAGCAAACTGGATGCTTCTGCCTTCCTAAATTCTGCTAATTAACTCACTTATCTGCCTAACAGCAGCAACCATTTGAACGGCGCAGAGAAGGTGTTGGGGGTGCCCACACAGCACCCCCTGGGGCCCCCCTCCCTGCCTTGGCCCGTTTCCAGTGCAGTCAGGAAGACTGACAGATGCTCAGGCAACGAGGGACAGTCTACAGCAGCTTTAGGCGGTCCCTCTGTGGGACCCTGCCAGGCTCCCCGCCCCCGCCTGCTACAAGTGCCCAGTTTACCCGCTTTTCTACGACGAGGAGGGCACTAGAGAGGTTGGGAAAGGGGATTTAATCTTCTTTAAATTAACATTACTTTTCTGAAGCAGCAAAGTGTCTTTTGGTTCCAACAGACTGACTCTGACCCGTTCACAAGACTTCTGCAGAACGTCTTCCGGTTTCCATCTGTGAGGCCAGCTTGTCCTTGCGCCGAAGTGCCTGGCCCCTTGGAAGGACAGGCTGGCAAGGAGGCGCTGTCACAGAAGGCGATTTTGATCTTGAAAATAAGATTTAGACTTGCTCGTTAGGACCAGTCTAACTTGGGAGATAAAATGCTTATGCAATTGCAGCATATCCACTTTAGATTTAAATGAACGGTCAGTTAAATTTTTTGAGACATCTCTAGTGAAGTGTGCTTTGTTAATCTGGTAGAGGCAGAAAGATATGGCCCAAGGTAATGTAATAGAGCTTCCTGTGTCACCTCTAATTTCAATGGCTTATAAAAGTACGTTGCATTGTAGTCGAAGTCACTATTTCTCACTTCATGAATCCCAGCGTGGTGGCTGTGTTCCGTGAGTCTTTCGGGTGTCATTCTGCTGTCCTCATGGGCTCTGTACCTGGTGTCCGTCGTGTTTCTCTGTGACGGTAAGATACCGTCAACCCAAACCCCTTCATGGTCATAGATCTCTTTTACGATTCTACTTAGGATGTTAAATATTGTCTTTATTTTTTTTTATTAAGATTTTATATCTACCATTTTCTCTGTTAGAACCTAACCAATCCTGATTATATTGTGGGATATGTTGATGTCTTACACATTATGTATTTTTGTCTTAATTCACCTGAAAGAGAAAAAAAGAAACATATCTTAAGAGAGTAAGAACTAGCTTCCCCACCCAAAGTCAGTGATAGTGACAAAGACCATCGAAGCTGTTTTATTTAACTTATGCTATCGAAGAGAAAAGCACTGGCTAAAAAAAAAGTGAATGGGGATTGACTGTGGTTATATATTTATGTAAACGCCTGTTATATTGGGCCCATGTAACAGCCACACAATGAGGAAGAAAGATTTAAATTAATAGGTGGCTGAGACCACCAAATTTCAGGACTCAAAGTCTCTTTTGGTTTTAATCACCAATGGTTGGTTGCAGTGACCTTTTTTGAAAAGCAGGAAAGGGAGATGAATAACAGGATACAGAGGATAAAAGCCTTTCATCATCGAAACCTTGGGCATCTATAAACCTCACCTTTATAGTGAGAAAGCAGAAGAAATCAGAGTGAATTTGTCAGTTGAGGTCTTCATGCAAATGTGAATGGAAAGCAAAAAAGGCAATGAGAGGGACAAAAGCATAACTAGCCGCAGTGACTGCAATTCAGGCAGAACATGTTTGCATTCCTTGACTGGATGCCGAGGAAACACATAGTATGGCCTGGGGGGTGTCCCCACCGCACCCCGTTCAGCAAAGACAAGGAACCCTGAGCCCATGGCCCACAGCTGGGTTTAGGTTGGGGGCCGAGGAAGAGGCCAGGCTTAGGGGATGCACAGGGGGCAGGGGGGACTGACTGGAAGATGCCGATGCCCATCCACTCATTACCCAGAGCTGACCGATCATCAGAATCGCCTTTTGAAGGTTAAAAAGTGAAGTAAAATTACAGGCCCCCAACCTAAACCCAGACATACTGAGTAACTTGCAGGGGTGTCCAACCTGGGGCCGTGGGCCGCATGTGGAATAGGGTGGCTGTGAATGCGGCCCAACGCAAAATTGTAAGTTCACTTAAAACATTGTGAGATTTTTTGTGATTGCATGTCACAGCGTGTTTAATGTGTGGCCCAACACAACTCTTCTTCTTCCAGTGTGGCCCAGAGACGCCAAAAAGCTGGACACCCCTGCAAGGGTCGAGGGAGGGTCCTGGAAACCTGTTTTCTCAGGGGCTTCACGGTTGCTTGAGATGATGCAGCAGATTTTGTGACCACTGCTTTGGAGATTGCAGCAGGGCTTGGAGAGGAGAGATGGTTGGTTTATTGTAAAAAAAAAAAAAACAAACCCACATTTATGCAGTATCTACATAATTAGTATTGCAGATATATACACAGGACTCCCCCTCTGGCTGATGCTGAAGGAACTATTAATCCATCAGGTTTCCTCAATAATGCAAAATACCATTGTCAAAACTGCATTGTTCTCATCTCCTGCGATCCAGCTCCCACACTCGTGTGAATGAGCACCCGAGCAGCACACAGCCAGTGGTGGCGTCATAAAGTAGACACTTTTAACCGGTCGCTAACTATTTATCAAACATGATTTGGTACCCAATATTATCTTTTAATTAAATTATTTCAATTTAGAGGATGGCCTATCACATTTTTAAAAACAGGTGTTAACCTG